AGACCGCTCAAGCCAGGAACAAGAGACTCATAAACCACATTGAATTTTTCTTTATTTCCATACAACCGCGTGTACAATTCTTTATTCGTATTTAACTCTTGGATAAGTTTATGTCAAACAAGTGCATGACTATCTTCTCCTTTACCGAGTAAAGCCGAAACGGCTCGGTAACCGTAATTACCATCCCCCACAACATTGAAGATCAACCGATATATTTGTGCATAAAAACTGGCATCTCATCGATGAATGGATTTTCGATGGGAGTATTGTCGGAGGTGGTTTGCTAATGCGGGCTCTTTTCACAACACTTTTTTGATATTTTGGAGTCGTTGAGTCGGGAAAAACTTTGTCAACATGTTCAAAATATGAGCGAGACCGTGTAGTCGAGTTATCATCGGTATATGTTTCATTTTCTTCGGAGCATCTTTTGTTTTTACCGGTTGAGAAGGCGGTTTCATGTTGTCATCGGCCTTGAAAAATCTCTCTTGTATCGCTTTCCATTTGGTCAAAATCGAGATATTCGATTTTCCCTCATCCATGCATCCATCACCATCAAACCTAAGTCTTTTCCAATAAGAGCAAACCTCATCAATTCTTATTGGTTCACAAAGTTTCACCATTTTAGCAATAATACAAGCACACAGAAAACCATATTTTTTCACAATAGTGTAACCACACTTTACATTATCGGAGCCTACATTATCAACTCGTTTAGCCTCATGAAAAATATAGTTCAAACCCGCCCGAGAAATGTTACCGACCAAATGAGAATATAGAGTGTTGTCTTTAAGTCAGTGTTCCAAAACTGTGATGCTCCGACTAAATGTTGTTTGTATCTCATTATGCTAGTTCTAAATCACATAATTCACGAAGTCCCAGTCTCTACACAAACCCATTTTTCTATTTCTCAATCAAATTTTCAAAGTGTCATGGGCCGACTCAACTCTGTTAGTAGCTGTGTTTCCAGGTTCTATAACATTATCAGTCCATGCACAAACTATTTTCTCGTTCACCTGATCAAGAATGGTGCTTTCAACATATTTTAACAAATCTGGATACTTTTCACACACTATCAGGAAATGAATAACGAAATCGGCATATAGTTCTTTTATGGAAGAATTCATTATACGATTTCATGCATCCATTATTTTTTACACAATCACACCCGCCTTCACCAATTTTCTATATTCAGAATCTACTGGTTTCGTCCCTACTGCAATTTTTACCCTAATTATCACATTCTTTGTTATGTGACACTTACAAAGTAATGCATAAAAAGAAATAAATATCTTAGCATCCGAATTCATTAATGTGTATCACGGTCAATAACAATCGTTTTTGAAATTTTCTGGCGTTGTACCACAGGTTAATAATACTAATGCCCTTAGATTAGAACATAATGTCCAAACATATGTTATGACATCTTAAGTCTGACAGAACAATATTATCAATCTTTAATTTTGCAGAAATTGTAAATTGTAGAATGATAAAAAAAACACGGTTAATGGTTTATCCAGTTTGATGCAACTCACCTACATCTGGGGGCATCCAAGCTAGGAAGGAAATCCACTATAATAGTATTAGTTTAAAGCTAAATTCCCCCGTTTACAACTTATCACCTAATCACTACCCGTGCTATTTCTACCTAGGAACTCCTATATATGAGAAACCTCTCTCATTTTCCACAAACACCTCGGCAAAGTCACAAACCAGTGACAAGAACCAAACAGAAGATTACATGTCCAATAAATAATACTTAGTTTTGCTTAAAAGCTTTAAACTAAGAATAATACTCAACTCCTTGCTTACAAGCTTTAAAGTGAATAAACAACCTGCAGAGATGTTTGACCCACATGTCAAGACATCTTGCATAATATATAGCTGCAACAACATGTTTTAGCAAAAATGCAGTCAACACAGAACTTACAACTTTAGGCATCTCACCTTGATCCTTCAAAAGTGACTGACACACCTTTAATGCCCAAGTAAAATAATTCTTTTTTTAACACTCAAGAAACGCAAAACCAACAAAATATGTATTCTCAGTTGAGGTAACACCAACCATATCAAATAATGGAAGTCTATACTTGTTGATCTTGTAGGTTGAATCAAGTATGAGCACCGTCGAAAACGTGTTGAACTACTTTATCGAATCAGGATGAGTTCAAAAAATATCTCTAATCATACCTCTATCATCACATGTTCGTTACCAAGATACGTAATTGTTATCACCCAACAATTTCAAGAGTTGTTGCATCTCAATTCTATCCCTCCTAATCGCCTTGTTAGTGAGGTACCAAATGTTATACACTTGTTTGATATTTGATATATTGTTGGATCACTTATGTTTCAATATTGCAAGTATATTTTTCTGTTGAATAAGATTCAAGGTCATCTCACTAATACATTCCTTCTTTTTCGCCTTAAGTCGACATATACTAGGATGACCGACTAATTTCAAACATAAATAATGATTATACAAAGCACATATCACATTAAATCTCCAATTTCTGTTTGTCGACATGTAATCACGAACCTTAAATAAACACTCACATTTTCTACTACCCGTGTCGTCTCTTTTAAGATTCCGGAGAAAAGTTCGATATCTCCCGCTTCATTTGCACAACATTGTCACAAAGGCTCTTCTTTTATTTGAGTCATTATCGGACCTTCCGATAACCATACAAAATCCAAGTCTATATGCCTCCATACGAATCCATTCAAGCATTTTATTATGAGATTCAAACTCTTGCTTGTTATTAAAGTCGTTTCCAACATCTACCGCCTTCACAACAACCCCTTGAACATTCATATAAACAAATTGTTTTGAGAAAACATCAGGGTGTACCATATCTATTGAAAACAATACAGACAATAACACACCATTAGTTTAAGTACTACTGCAAAATGGTTGGAAAAAAGAACACAAACATTTTCCGAAAATGTACCTCCAGACAAGTTCATACACGTTCTAGAGATACATTTTCGGACACAGTGTAACTTTTTCCAGCTAAAATAGATTGTTAATGTGAGCAATGCAGAGATAAAAGAATATTCTTTACCTGAAATTCAATCTTCTTTTGCTCTGTGTGATATGATGAACCAAAATGATGGAGATTTGAAGTGAAAAATAGATTGAGAATGAAGGATTTTCAGGGTGAGGGTTTAGGTGAGACTGAAGTATGACAACAATGGAAGACTGATCATGCAGTTGTAAGCTATATCAGATACTTTCGGAGATGCATCTCCGAAAATACCTGACATGCCAAGGTGACAGAAAATTTCAAAATACTTCCCATAATTCCGGAAATGCATCTCCAAAATATCCATTGAACTGAACAATTAAATGTTTTTCTTAAAATATGCTGAATATATATCTCCAGAATAAAACTAATAAAATGTATGGGGCGCCTCTCAGAATTGTTTTTGTTGAGTGTACAAAAAGTGCGTTATATCTCTGAAAATAAGGAATATATTTAGAAATTCACACGGTGCGCTAGAAGTTAGGGACGGATCCAAAATTTTTTTTGGTGGGGACAAAATAATAATAATAATAATAATAATAATAATAATAATAATAATAACAATAATAATAATAATAATAATAATTAAGATAACTAGAGGTAGTTCAAATTGAATGTGCTAGTTGAATTAAATGTGTAATTTGGTTAGAGTTTAATTACTTGTGATAGAAAAACAAATTGTTATATATTTATAAATCAACAATTTAAATAATAATAATAATAATAATAATAATAATAATAATAATAATAATAATAATAATAATAATAATAATAATAATAATAATAATAATAATAGAGTTAATAATTTAAGAATAGAAAAAATATATTATTTTATATCTAAAAAAATAAAGATAGCTCGATGTCTGCTATTTAAATATGTTTATATTTAATTATGATTTATTTTTATTTATCAGCTACCAATATTTTCATGTTTATGTGTTCAATAATCATATATAATTTATTTCTCATGTCATTGTACATTTTTTTTGGTTACATATATCATTGTACTTTTATTTTGCGAAGATGAAATAATCTAATATTTTTAATGGGGGCAATAGTAAAATTTTAATCAAAATAAATATAAAAAGTATTTTAATTTAATAAAATATAACAAATTAATAGTATATGTTAGCGAGGACAAAATGTCCCCAATTTGATACACGTGGATCCGTGTTTACTAAAAGTATATAGGATGCAATAAAAAATTGTCTAAAAAAATAGAACACAAATTTTGAATCGTGGTTCAAAAACAAAACGACACACTTTCCTCTCCTCTCTGTATCTTTCATTTATTTTATGTGTTATGTTAAAAACGAAATCAACACTATTTTTTTGTGTTTTATTTAATTAATAATATATAATTATATGTTTAGTGCATTATTTTTAGTTATTAAAAAGGTTTCTATTATTAATTTAAATCTATTTTTAAAATTAAAACACATTGATTGGACCAACCCTAATTTTAATTATTAATTAATTGTTTAAAAATAAAATATTTTCTAAAAAATCCACCATTCTATTGTACAGGTAAAAAAAAAGTTTTTGGCCAAACCACTAAGACCAAATTCTGGATTACTATGGTCTCTTCTCCTAAAAATTAAAGAGTGAAAAATCAAAAAATCAAAATATAAAATATTTTTTTATTAAAAAAAAGAAAAGATAAGACAAATATTCAAATAGAAGAGAGCAAAGATTTTCAGATCTGAACCTTATTCCCCTCACACAAAACGAATAAAAAATTTGTTGCGCCCACAACACAATCAATCATCATTAAAACTCTAACGTTAGCATTTTTTCAAACTCGTCAAACACAGTAACTTGTTGGAGCCAAACGGCTTTAAAACTTCTCACATGTTCCTTCTCTCTCTCTCTATGGGTTGCATTCATATCACACTTTCTTTAATTACTCTTAATTAACAACAACTTCATAACCATTCTTTCTTCTCTTTCCAACAGCGAAAGAAAGAAAGAAAGAACATGGGTTGTTTTCTTCAGTGTTTTGGTTTATCCACTAAAAGAAAACGGAGAAAGACTCTCTACAAAGTCCTAGCTCGAGAAGACCAGGTAAGTCTATAACAAATTCACCCATTTTCGTTTTTTAGATTTTTACAAACTCAGTAAGAAAAAAATGTTATCTTTTTGCAGAAGTATGGAAACTATGAAGTTCTTGCTATAACAGAAAAAGCAATTATCCCTTATTCTGAATCCAGGTTTGTATTTATTTCTCTTAAATGTATATTATCAATGTGTGGATTTATATGTAGATGTAAAGATTGATTCTTTATTTTATCTGTTAGAGGTAGAGATCAAGAGAAGGAGAAGAGTGGTGTTAAACCCAAGAAGAAGAAAGTTAGCTTTAATTTGAATTTACAGATATATGAGGTAAACCCTAGTTCTTATCAGGTGTTGGAGGATGAGGAAGAAGAGGATAAGGACACTGCTGTGGAATCTGAGGGAAGGGTGTTGGGAGATGGATCTGAAGCTGTGATAATTCGATACCCGTCGAATCATAGATATTATAACTGTAGTTATGATCAGGATGAAGAGGATGATATGGTATATGAGGAATCTGATATTGATGATGAGTTTGATGAAGAGTATGATTGGGATGATGATGACGATGACGGTTATGAAAGTTGCGAGAATTATGAAGTATGTGATGAAAACAGTAAACAGAAGGTGCTTTCTACGAAGGATGATGAGGTGAAATCGAATTCGAGTGGACGAGAGAGGAGCATGAACATGAATTCTGTTCTGCATCCGGTGGAGAATCTAAGTCAGTGGAAAGCAATCAAAGCAAAAGTTATTTCAAGTAAAAACAGAAGAAAGGAAAATGTTCCATCAGAGGAAAATACAAGCTCCAAATTCTCACCTTGTATCTTGGAATCAAGTGATCTTCAGTCGAAGCCTTTGTTGAAAGAAATTGCGGTTGATGCCAGTCTTTCAAACTGGTTGGTTTCTCCTAATTATAACGTTTCCAGTACAATTCGTTGTCAATGATGCAGCAGAGTGATTGAAGTAACAGAAACTTAGAGAATATTAATTGGTGAAGAACAATATAAAGTGTCAATGTTTGATGCTTCTGTTGATTGATTTAGTCATTAAGAAAATAGTCTGTCAGGAGGATTGGATTGTATGTGTGTCTAATTTGTAATTGTTTTGTATTTGGTTTGTGAATGGGGTTATGTTGTAATCAAAGGAGAGTGTGTTTGTTGCTGTGAAATCTCATGTTGCAGCTATGCGATTTGAGGTGTTCTCAAATTGCATGACTTGTATTGATAAATTTTTATCTTTATGTTTATTCTACTACTATGCTATGAAGTAGTAGATACCGATACCGACAACGACACATCAACATCAGTAATAATTTGTGAAAATGAATAAATTGAAGGTAATTACAAATGTCAGTTCATTGTGTAACATGGACACTGCCACGCGACATCGACACTGACATATTAACATCAGTAATAATTTGAAAAAAAACGAATAATTTGAACGTGATTACAATTGTCGGTGGACACTAATTGACACACCCTTTTATTAGAGGTGTTGGTGCTACACACCTGCCAAGCAATCCTTGAATCAGTTAAAAGTGGATTACATTCATAGAAAAAATAGGTTGATATTTGAAAAGTATTACTGTATACAAACTCCATTAGCACAAGCTGATTCTACAGCAATGGAACATACAGAACCAAAGAACTCTTGTAGCAGAATTACCCGAGTACAAGTGCTTGTCATGAAAATTCATTCTGCATATCCAGTAACTAGGAAAATAAACCGATAAAAGACCGAGGTACCACCTCTTCCATTTACAACACGAACAGCAATTGAATGTCAAATACTTAGAGAAGCATGAAAATGCTCATTTAGTTTTCATACATGGAAGCGGTGCTCCTATTAGCACCGTCCTAATCAAAATTGATGGATGCCATGTGTTTAGTCTGATCTTCTTAGAGAACCGGCAAAGGGTCCACCTCAGAAATTGTCAAAACCTGGTCAGAGGAACTAGATCCAAACAATGGCAATCACAAGGAGATGTTTGTCTTGGTTATTGGAGAGTAGGTACAAATCATTATATTAGCGCATCAAATTCAGGCTCTAGTAGTTCCCCTTGATCTGTTCAGTTTGAAGTTTGAGACAGGTTATCAGGATCATCTCTACATTATTGAGCAGATACAAGAATCGTCATCCTCCGAGTCACTATCATCACTGCACACACAATAGGACAACCAAATGTAAGTTTATTACTTTTAAAAACATTGACATTGTATGAAATGAATCGATCATAAACTGTGTTGCATTCCAAAAGTGCGATGACATGATAACATTACTCTTCATATTCAAATTTCTTTACTATAATGCATCTCAAGTAGGCAAGGAAGCGCTGTTTTTTTCTCTCACTAGCATACGTGAAAGCATCGACTATCAAAGAAAAAAGAACTCTGATGAAATAGGTTCTGTTATAACTAAAAAGTTTTGCATTGGTCACCCCAAGTCAGATTGCTTCTACGGCATACCTTCCGATCAATGTTCTTAAAACTGAACATCGAATTGGTGAAATCTTTGGATCATGGTGCAACCTCTATAAACTGCTCGAATTACGAAGAACTGTGATTGAACGGTCAAAATAACCTATTCATTCTAAAGGCTATCCCTGGTTTGGTTCTGTTTCCATGCCATAAAACAAGAACAACTCTAAAAAGGACCACCTATTGTGCTACTTTCTGCTCTTGTTTTCTCACACAGTTTCAATCATAATCACACAGGTTTATCAATTTTAACAGATGCATTGAGTTTTATTTCCGTCTCTTCCTAAACTACCGAAGTTCTTTTTCTCCTAACATCTGTCTAAATGACATGAATCACATTAAGCAGAAATGTTGACCTATAAACCCTCCCTCAATTTAACTAGTGTTACTATCAATTCCTTCAGAATCCACTCAAATAGAATTGAAAAGACAACAACAAAACAAACATTAGAATTGAAAAGAAACAAATAGCACATGGCTGTAATGAAACAGACAAAAATTTACCTTGGTTCATATTCCAACACTTCAACAAGCTTGTTTCCAATCATATCATTCCACTGCACTCTCTTACTTGTCTTACTCTTATTCAATTTCCGTGACATTCCTCCTTTTCTGGGGAGTGTCAACAAATCATTCGAATCACTGTCATTTTTTCCATTTACATGATCTTCATCAACCTTTTTACAATCCAAAGAAGCCACAGCCACAGGGTTGTTTACACACCGATTAACACCATCTTTCTTAGACACAGTATCCATCAACAACAACACTCCTCCAAAAAAAAAAATTCAACCCTAAATTCAGGAAAATCTACAAACTTGAAAGAAACCCATTTGATCTATTCGGCATAAAATCACAACCCAATTCTGAAATTCCTCCAAAAATTTTGATTTTGGAGGAACCAAAACATGGGTTGAATTGAATTCAACAGAGAGAAAAAACAGGGGAAACAGAAGACGAAGACGAAACGTAAAGTTGGTTTAACCCAATCGAAAAGAGAGTGAGAGAAAGAATGAGGGAAAATTGTATGGTTGGAAACGATGAAGAAGCAGAATCTGAATTGATTCACGTAGAGTTTGACACGGTTGAGACAGAACAAAACTTTTGTGGAAATTTAAGAAAAGGGAAATAAAAATCACCACACGATCTAAAATAATAAAGGATGAAACAAAGTACTAGAATACAAGAAGTGATGATGAGGATATGTGCGTTTACTTTTGTTTTTGATGTTGTTATGAGAGGGATATGGTGTGGTGTATTAAATTCCTTTTTCTTGATACTGATTAATTTGTAGATGTTGAAGGTCAATTTAATGAATGTTTGTCTTGTCAATTTTTTTAAGAAAAATTATTGTTTTTATGGTCAGTTGGTATATGGACAAGTGAGATATTTGTTCTGCTATTTATTTCCAAGTCACACGATGAATTAATAAATTCGATTACTAGATAAAATGAAATGTATTAAGAGACCATGATTTTTTTTTTTAATATAACCAACTATTTCAAAAAAAATTCTAAACAAAATAAATTTTCAAAAAGTGGTCAACATTCAATTTTGGATTGTCAAACTATTTGGCGAATGCACCTCCCTTTATACAGATGCGTCAGCCCAAATGGCGAATTAGTTTAATGACCTTCAACAGATTCGTCAATCCAATTGACGGAAGTTTTACCTCATACCCCTACCCTTATACCCATACCCCTACACTAAAAAAATTTGGACCAAAATACCCTTAGTAAATCTATAATCTCACATTTTTTCATTTTTCACTTCCATTTCTCACTTTCCATTTTGAGACTTCCGGAACTCTCAAATTTTGCTACAAACCGGAACTCTCACACAAACACTTTCGGAACACATTTCAGTTGTAATACATACTGGAACACTAAGAGTAAGTCTTCCGGTTTGTATTTTGTTCTTGCTTCTTCACCGGAACTCTTTCATTAAGACTTCTGGTTCACAAAATTTTGAGGTTGGTCACCGGAACTCTTTTTTGAAGACTTCCGGTTCAGAAAAGATTTTAGTTTACACACCGGAAGTCTTTCCTAAAGACATCCGGTACACTCATTGTTGCGTTTCAACTTCGGAAGTCTTCAAAGAAAGACTTCCGGTTCATTGCTTTTTTATTTTTTAATTTTTGTTATTTTTGTTTTCTAATTATATTTATTTATTTATTTATTTTTTATTTTTTAATTATATTGATTTTTTTTCCAGTGGTGCGCACAAGAGGCAGAGATGGTAGGATCCCTCGTGGACTAGGACGGGGCGAGTCATCGAGGATGGCTGAAGAAGAGCATTTTGATGCATCTGCATCAGCATCAGCATCCGAGCCGGTTGGATATCCCGGAGGACCGTATGATACGTCTCTGTTAGTTAAATACGAACAACATGTTGCATACCGTATATGGTTTGGTGAGATAAGTAAACGAAAATTATTTAATATTGAATAGAATTCGAATTTTTAATATTGAATTTTATAATATTTTTACTTTTAATTTTTTTTAGGAGAGAGGGTCGAAGAAAGAGTTAAAGGTGGCGGGACATGGGATAAAGTTGACTCAGAGGGTTCCACTACAGTTACCCAGAGAGATGGAAAGCTGGATATCTAGGTCTGGTCTAGCTTCACTTCAGAGAACCAGTTTAACAAAGATAAACACAAACCTAATTTCCACTTTTGCAGAGAGGTGGCATCTAGAGACATCTTCATTTCACATGCCGTTTGGTGAGATGACGATTACTCTAGATGACGTATCTTGCCTACTTCACTTGCCCATCAGGGGAGTTTTCTGGAACCCTCAAGATATCAGTGAAGCGCTTGTTGTTGAGTGGGTTGTTGATTATTTGGGAGTGTCACAGAGAATAACACAACAACAAGTCCGTGAGTGCAGGGGTTCCTACTATAAGCTGGAGTGGTTATATGATCGGTTCGTAGAGCACAGAGCTGCATCTCGATGGGATTATGCCACTAGAGCTTATTTGCTGATGTTAGTGGGTTCCACTATTTTTGCGGGCAAGACGTTTACGCTTGTCGAGGCACGATACCTCTCTCTGTTTATAGACTTGGATGGCTTATCAGGATACAGTTGGGCAGCAGCTGCGTTGGTTACTCTTTACCGATATCTCAGAGATGCTTCCATGTTCAGCTGTAAGCAGCTTGGTGGTTATCCGACTCTCCTACAGGTATTTATTTTAATTTAGTATATTTTATTTTAATTAATTTTATCTAGTATATTAATTTTATTTATCTAGTTTATTATGTTATAATTAATTATTTTAAATTTTGTAACAGTGCTGGATTCATGAGTATTTTCTCACACTTGCAAAAAGAGGAGAGAACTGGATACCAGCTAATAATGTGGGTCTCCCACGAGCGATGAGATGGTCCTATAGACAAGGTGCCTTGAAGGTGGATGACTTGCGGCCTATTCTGGACGAGCTGACACCTGCTGATGTCATATGGCGCCCATTCGAGAATCATAGAGTATGGCGTCAGTTTGATGAGTTATGCCTCTATAGGGGGTGTCTGAGGTGGGGTGACACTATTGTTCCATACATGCCTGACAGATGTTTGCGTCAGTTTGGATACAGGCAGTATGTTCCACATCCACCTCTTGATTCTCGAACGACGGGTGATATTGATGTTGACTGGATTAGTTACCATCAGAGCATTCAGAATGTGATTCGTCCGACAGCACCGGCCACCACCCCATATGAGACAGATGATGGGTATCTTGAGTGGTATTATCTTGTTTCGCATCCTCGTCTGGTACCGCTCAGTGTTGATGCGACAACAGAGATGCCAGTTCCTGTATATGAATCAGGACCATCTGATCCTATAGTGGCTCGTATGTCTTCATTGATACATTGTTATCTTCAGCAGACTGGTGCTGAAGAGGATGACCCACAGTTTGCTGATTTGTTCGAAGCTTTACATCTTGGTCTATCACAATGACTTTTATTTATATTTATGATTATATGTTAACCTTTAGACATATTTGACCTAATTGGTTTATGTTCATGTGTTAACTTTTAGACTAATTTGACCTATTTAGTTTATGTTTATGTGTTAATATAATTCACGATTCATGTTTTGCAATTAAAAACGAGTAACATAATTCACGATTCATGTTTTGCAATTAAAAACGAGTAACATAATTCACGATTCATGTTTTGTAATTAAAAATGAGTAACATAATTCACGATTCATGTTTTGCAATTAAAAACGAGTAACATAATTCACGATTCATGTTTTGCAATTAAAAACGAGTAACATAATTCACGGTTCATGTTTTGTAATTAAAAATGAGTAACATAATTCATGATTCATGTTTTGCAATTAAAAACGAGTAACATAATTCACGATTCTTGTTTTAAAATTAAAATTGAGTAACATAATTTATAATTCAAAATGCGTTGGTAATATAGGCGTAAGTTGTTGCCAATGTTGTTGACGTCCTGCAAATCCTATCATCCAAGATGTTGCTGCTGGAGAACGAAACTTCTTCCAATCTACTGTCACCGGTGGCAATGGAAACCCTTCTTTCATGTTTACCTAAATAAAAAAATAACTCGCAATATTAAGTAAAAATAACGAAAAAGAATTAGGTTTAATCGCATTATCTAAAAACAACTAAGTACCTGAACCCAATGATTTTTGTTTACAAAGCCAATGCAGTAAATTGCTACATTCGGTGAAAATGAAGATGTCATAGGGAAGAAAGTCCAGCATTCAATTCCTAAACAGACAAGTACAACATTATAACGATTCACTATCACGTAACCCATATCTGGTAGAGTTAACCATTTATGTGGTGGCTGATGACCAACTTCCTCTATCATCAAAGATTCTCTCACTACTGCTAACTGATCAGTAAATAAATTGACATACAAACTTGATCTTTCATTATGTATTATTTCCAACCCCAAGTCTCGACGAACCATTGGCCAACCATCTTCACCATATCCATGCAATGAAGCAATGACTCGAAATCCACAATTACCATCTAATACAACATTAACTACATCATCAATATATGACCTGATGTGATTAGAAAATTGAAGGATGAACTGCTTAGATGACTGTGAAGATTGTAATAATTTCAATTTTTTCGAAGCCTGTGCTGGTTGAGATTTCTTTTGTGAAGACTGTGATAATTTCAATTTCTTCGAAGTTTGTGATGGTTGAGATTGCATCTGTGAAGATTGAGATGCTTGATCAACATACTCGTGATACGAAGGGTCTCTATAAACATCATATCCTATTGGTTTTTTGTCTTTCTTCTTGACTCCCCCTTTAGTTTTTATTTTCTCAGGTGGTGGACACATAGAAGTCATTGTAGGGAAGGCAAGTTCAAAAACCCTACTTTTTAATGCCTTTTTCCCAACAACATCCAGTGACTTAAACCTTTTCCATAACTCATCTATTGCACTACTCATATCCACCTCTGATCCATCATCTACATCTTCGTCCAACTTAACTTCCATACTTAGTTTTCTCCAATGAACATGTACAACATCTATTGGTATCGGTAAACCATCAATTCTATATCCTGTCAACTCACAAGCACAAGGTAATCCGTAGGTTGTTCTAAGAGTAAAACGACATATTTCCTTGTTAGTTCCAACATAATCAACTCGTTTTAACTCTTCAGCAATGCGTCTCAATGCTTATCGAGACACTGAACCACGTAAATTATTGTAAAATGGACTTACGTGGGCGTGCTCAACTTCATAAAAACTCTTTTGAAAAGAAGCTCTA